GATTGGACATTTACGGCGTAAAAGATGAATGATGATCTTTCCCCTAGTTGGAATTTCGCTCGAAACAATTTAGCTTGTACGGTAATAATCATATTTCTTTTTAGTTTTTTCCGTTTACATATTCCTTTTGCATTCTCTTCTTTAGACCGCGGTTGCTCAGTCGGTAGGACGTCGAACTTAGAGTCGTTAGGCCAAGAATTCAAGCCCCGGTTACGATCACTCGCCGTTTTTGCTTTCGAGGTTTACCAATGAGTATGGCTCTGTGGTAAGGAAACATGAGACAACACGCTACGATTGCCACAGGGTTGTAGATTTTGCTTTACAAACGAAGGAACTCTTGGCTGATGGCATAGAAATGAAGATCAGCATCGTGCCATGAACTTCATGAAGAGAAGGGCGCCAAAATGGTCTAGTCATGCAATTGAAGACTGACATTCCTACGTTCACCAACTTTTCTTTTCTTTTTAAATTTTTTACGTTTTTCACTTTAGATTTTTATTTTTTTTGCTTTTGTTGTATTTTTTCTTTCATCATCATCAAGCTTTTTCGAGCCATGAATGCCACTACACAGATGTTGCTGTGAACTTCCGTTTTTTATGATTTCTACCCAACGAACTTCTTCATCTGATCCTACCATTGATCCGTAGGTTTTCATACGGGCCATTTAACCTTTCTTGGAACTTAGTCTCGTGTCTCTTTCGTCTAGTGGTGGTTAGTTGCTTGCATAATTGCAGCGCCAAGAGGTGCTCGCATTTCACAGTATGGCCTCGGCCATGGCATAAGTTTCGTGTAACCTGTCGGAACGTTATGATCTCCTTGTTGTTCGCAAGTGAAGCAGTTGCTACATGTTTCTTGGTACGGAAGCAACGTATAGCAAATTTTTTGCTCAATCATTTGGGGGGGGGGTTAAGTTAATTTTATTTTTGTTTTTCGGGCTTCAAACTCTGCACCTCCGGAACTACAAGTTAACTTCGTACCACTGTGCCCCCTTCCTCGAAATGTAGTTTAGCATTTGTGATTAAGCAGCAACGTAAAACGGTTGATAGTGCAAAAATAGCAAATTTATTAATCGCCAAATTTTGGCTATCTGCCACAGCTACCCGATCCTTTGTCAGCATATTTAGCGATCAATCGACCAATTTATGGTACTTTGAGTAATTGATTTAGATGTAGTTGAGATATTTTCTTTATTCACCATGATATCGTAATTTTTTCTTAAATTATTTAATGCTTTGACCGTTGTTTGCTCTTCCTCCATCTATAAGTTGAAGAACAGGCATAAACTTGTATGATTGGTTGCATAAAAATAGCGCAAAATACGGTTTACTTATACACAACGCAAAAGATACTGTGGTCTCTCTGGTGACTGACCATTGCTGACGTTTTGCGCTATTTTTTTCTCCAACATCACTACTAATGCATGAACGAATTGCTCTATGATTGGTTGCAGCGAAAATTCGATTCGTTCCTAGAGTCACGCATATGTAACAGTTTGCTCTTATATCGATCACCAGCTGCCAGAACTGCCAGTTACCTTCCGTAAGATATTCACCATATTCCGTTCCGGTGCAGCCAACCCAAAACGGATATCAAGTCATTGATGTGCGAACAATCGCAATAACATGGTCATCTGATGAGGTCATGTCAGAACATATGCGAGACTTGCTGCCAAAATGGCTGCCTCATGTGTGCGCATTACCCCTGCAATTCGTTTTGGCCACCTGATAACTGAAAAACAACGGTAAAAGCGTTAATTTAAATAATTTAATGTTTTTTACCGATGGCAGAATGAAGCCTTTTCTGACACTATTAATTGTCAATGAAGTGATCATTCGTTCTCTTTTACGACAAATTGCTTCGAAATTCGACAAGTGCTTTACATCGCATAATAAATAATAATCTTCGATATCGCACATAAAAATTTATTAACTATCTAAAAATTTGTAGACGTTTCAGGTCATGTCCAGTTTGCTTCGGGAAGAGACATATTGTAAAACATGATGTTGCAGTATACTACAGTGCTGTTAGGTACACTCGCAAAGGAGGTTTTAGCTTCGACTGTGGAAATTGTTTTATTGCTTCGTTCGAATGCATAATTTACTTCCATACCAACATATTTTTTCATTAAGTAGTTTGATTGTAGCTAATTGTCAAGATTTCCTTTATCTTTCGGCTTAGTTTTTCTTTCGGTGTATTTCTTTCATTTGTTGTGGATACCTGCAGTGTCGTTCGTGTACTTCAGCCACCACCAGGTATTCCACAGCCACCGAATTTTATCACTACTTCACTGCCTGCGTATCCTCCATTTGTCTTTACCCTTTTCCTTTCTGTTCTTGTTCATTCTGATGTAGATCGGCGTTACACCATCTCGTCAGGGCCATAAGGTGTACTTTCTTCCTCCCTTCTATGATATTACCGGTTTTTTCTGTGTAACGTCACAGGATAGGATGTTATTTGAATTTCGGCTCAAGCGTTTTACATTAGACAGTATCAGCAGAATTCGTGATTTTTTTCCAGATATGAGTACTAGTCGTGTTCCACGCTTTCATGCTATTCTCTGCAGGTTGTCAGTCAGATTTTTTACGTACGCAACAACCGTGCTTTTGTTGAAATGCTGTCGTTCGCTCGCTTGCACTTTTTTACCCTGTAACTCCTCTATTGTTGGTTCTTGATTCCTTCTATTGCTGCTCTACAGAACTACTGTCTGTGCGAACTCTTCTGGTGTAAGACAGTTCCATATGGATAGCAGCTTCATTTGAGGTCAGTCGAAACATTTATTGGTTAGAGTACTAGTGAAGCCTTTCTTGACGTAATACGCGTGATTCGAACGTGTTTGCTTTTGAAACACCTCACAAACCTACTTTTTCTACTTTCTCGTGATTAGCCCGTCTAGAAAAAGGGTATCACATTGTTTTGCTCCACTTCAATGGTGAATATAATTGTTTCTGAATACAGGGTGTTGATGTGGTTTACGAGGAGCGTCTATCTTTTTCACATTTGGCGAATATATCTTTACTACTTTCTAAGCAACAGGGGATCAATTTTTCTGTCGGAAATGATGAGTGCCATTATTTTTTAGATGTTTCATAAATAGTGCCTGCCGCTAGAACTGGAAACAAGGGAGAACGATTAGAAGAAACTCTGGTACTTTGTATAGTTTCCCGTTGAGTTTGAAATGGCTGTAGTACACTAGACAGCTCGTGAAGATGTCGACCCTAGATATATCTGTTAACATAGTTTTCTTGTGAAACTCTCTTGAGAAGTTCTCTTATGCCTCATTGATGATATGTTTTAATGGAAAGCTGGTAAACAAGTTCTTGATCCCGTACCTGGCCATAATTATTACTTCTTTTTATTGCTCTTAACGAGCAACTTCCTTCTGAATTCACTGAAATTTCTGTCATCTGAGGGGATTCTTCTTTAACGCATGACGCAGTTCAAGAGTTTTGACTGTATAATTGTCGATTTGAATGATTTAATGTTGGCATTGGCTGAAACGGTGGACCCCATTGGTACCCAAGTTTGTAAACTCTTGGTATGCATAAAAATTTGCGGCATACTTTGAGACAAAGTCACTTTGAACGTTAGTGATTGTTTGGTTTCAGTTATCAGTGATTAAAAATGGCAGAAGAGACGAAGAGAAGGTTTCATGCCAAGTTTTGCAGAAAACTTCGTCCTCTGTTGATGATGATTAAAAGTGAGTAAGGGCGATCGGTCACCTCGTTAGTTGTTCATATGTCTCGGTTGTAGATGTCGCGCGTGTCACATACGATGGCCGTGGTTTTTGTCGGTGGTCCTCTCTCCAGAGAAAAGATTATCGTTTCGAATCGGTCGTAAAAATCGATTTATT